CCGGGAAGGCAATTTCATGAATGAGGTCTTCCAAGCAAATGACACCAAACTTCCCCAGGTGCTCCTCAATCACAGTGTTGTCTGTCAGAGGGATGGTCTTATTCTTGACCCTGGCTTGTCCACGTTTCAAAATGAGTTCCCGGACAGACTTCAGATTTGGAAATCCCCAGGTCACATAAGGTTCCACTATACGCAGCATTTTTAGGTTCTGGGGAGTGACTTTTACAAAGACACCACTAAAAATTTTCTTTAGGCGAAGTCTTGCAATGGTTCTCTGCACCAGTAAACTCACACCATCAATCCTTTCAATGCGTACGACAAAGGCCAAAGAATGTTTATCTGGCAATTCCAAGGCATGAGGCTTCACTTCCAGTCGTCTGACACGCACCTTGTCACGTGTCTGCCGCCAGGAATCATGTAGGAATGATTCCAATCGCTTAAACCTGGGCCCTTTTCCTTTCTTCTGCTCCTTCTTTGCCAAAAGTGCCTGCTTTGCCTGAGTGGCTTTCAGGGCTTGATAAGCCTTCCTCTTTTTCAGGAGATTTTCTGGAACCAAAGGGATTTTTCTTTGCTCTTGCTCCGCCATCTTTCCGGTGTAGCAGCTCGAAATTCCCATTTTTTAAGGAGAGGAACTATAAATAGAATCTACTTACTGCCTACAAAACCACACACATGTGCACACGTGCATACACATATGTACAATAAAAATTGAAAGCCTAGATTAGTATATATATATATATATATTTGAGTATGAAGATGAATAGCAATCTTTACTTTTAGATGCCATAGCAAAATTTTATAGTATTACACGTACACACACACATTCTCTCTCTCTCTCTCTCTCTCTCTCTCTCTCTCTCTCTCTGCAAAAATTACAATGATTAAGCTGCCCATTGCCACAGTGAGATCTATCATTATAATTATTTCATTAGCTTTATGTGATGTATAACAATAAGTTTATCTGTGTATTATTGAATATTTTTGTAATTAAAACTCCATCAGAATTGTCATAATAAATGAACAGAACTCATTCTCCCTTACATAGATCCTTTAATTTTTTTCTTTTTTGTTTGTTTGTTGCACTTTTATTGAAACATAACTTCACAACCTAGAGTGAAGATAGCCCAACTTAGTTTCTGGCACAAAATTCACACTGAATATTTGATAAATGAAATAAAACGAAATCCCCAATATGCCTGATGCTTTATTGATGGTCCTGGATGAGATGAGGCTATATTTCTCCTTCTCCATTTTCTTGTGGTCTTCTAGTAATTTCAACTAGAAGTTGGAATAAAGGTGGAGACCAAGTTATTGAAAGTCCCATAAGTGAAAAGGAATGACCAGGGAAAACACTCCAAAATAACCGAGGTTTCCAGCTTCCTGGGAATTGATATGTTGGGAAATTACACAATGAAAAGATGCTTGAGTATACTGTAAGTCTTGACTAAGCTCACCTTAATCATTATACCATGTAAATGCAGGGAAAAAAATGCCATTGTTCAACTATGCTGATCTCTGACATGCATCGTGTCTCTTCCCTTAATTACTTTTATATATTCACTGAGTATTCTTTGAAAATCCATTTGTGTCTTAATAGTGAAATTTAATTTGTGCAATTGAATTGTCGTGAAAACATTACTGCTTCTTTCTCCTTGCCTCATTGTTACAGGCTGCTGGGATAAAAAAGAAATAGCAAATGGCATTTTAAAAAACTGTGGTTGAGGAAAAGCACAGGCCTGGGTTCTAATCCCTTTACTTCCATTAACCATCTAGAGATATTGGATGAGTCTCTTCTTTAGCCCCTCCCTCTTTTTTAATCATGTTTTTGTTATCAGTTTTTCAAGAATTTTTCTACTTTGATTATTTTTTCTCTCAAACATAGTCAATCTCTATGTCTCCATGGCATCATTCCTATATGTTTGGATATTTTCTGTCTTAATTTAAAAAATGAAATGAAAACTTAACATGTCATCATATCCCTCTGGTCAATATCCCTCCATCCAAACTTCTAGAAAAAATTGTCCACATAACTTATTTCCCTTTCTCTTTTCTAATATGGCTTCCGTATTTATTATGCCACCAAAACCAGATCAATGAGTATCACAGCAACCTTTAGGTCGCCAAATTCAAAAGATACTTTTCTAGACTAATAAACCACTTCACCTTGAAAAATTTTTTTTTTGGCCATTCCCTTGTGCATTTCTCTTACCAGTAGGCCACCCCTTGTCAGTTCCCTTTATTAGCTTCTCCCTTGTACCTTAACTCCCTCCCTAGATAGTCCCACCACTTTCCGTAGCTGTGTGAACACTTGGAGCCTGGGTCCCACTCTTTCCCAAGAGACTCTTTCACAAGTCCTTGAAATATCAACAGAATTTTTTTTTTTTTTTTGACGGAGTTTTGCTCTTGTTACCCAGGCTGGAGTGCAATGGTGCGATCTCGGCTCACCTCAACCTCCGCCTCCTGGATTCAAGCAATTCTCCTGCCTCAGCCTCCTGAGTAGCTGGGATTATCATGCCCAGCTAATTTTTTGTATTTTTAGTAGAGACGAGATTTCACCATGTTGACCAGGATGGTCTCAATCTCTCGACCTTGCGATCCACCCACCTCGGCCTCCCAAAGTGTTGGGATTACAGTCCTGAGCCACTGCTCCCAGCCCAGAATTTTTTTTTATGAGGAGCCAAACTGTAAGTCAACACAGCTTCCAGCCCCATCAATAGTGGATCGTTGTAACTTCTAGTACATTGAATTCTCAACCGCAGAGGTGGCAACATCAAGTAGTGAAGTGCACAGACTCTGTTTCTCCTGTGATAGTGTGAGATTCTTGAGAGCAGGTATTATAGTTTATTCATCTTCTGTATTTTTGCCCCTACTTCTTACATTCCAGCACCTAGATGAGTACCCAAATGGTGCTCACGTTATTTTGACTTATTTGTAATTGAACAATTCATGAGTGTCATGGTTGAGAAGGCACTTTCTCTTCAGGGTATGATGAGAAACATTGCATTTATTCAAAAGGTACAAGTAGCACTAAGGGCAGCAGAGAGATACAATGCTTATTAAGCAAGTACATTTGATTTTTTAAAATATAGAAAATAGAGAGGCTGTTAAAACAGTGTTACTTTTCAAAGAAAAGTATCTTTGGGGCTCTTGAATGTAGCATCAATGCAGCAAGAATGAAGAAAACTTGTGCAACATAGCCATTTTAAAAAGAATAAATTTGAAGTTAGAAAATATTATAACTATACAGATGCCATAGAGGTTAAATGCAATAATGTAAAGTTATTTAACCCCTATGGCATTAAACAAGTATGTATAATTATAATGTTTTCTAGCTTCAGATTTATTCTTTTAAAAGTGGCTATCCAGCATAAGTTTTCTTCATCCTTCTTAGAATTGTTAGAAAATTATTCAAGCATTTGAGAAATTGTGTCCCCAGTGGGTGAAGAGATACCTATATAAAGATGCATATTGTGCCATGGTTGTAATGTGCTTTGGTATCAATGGGGATGGCATATGCTAAAGAAATGCAGGCTGATGTTGTGAGACAAAGCTGAGCTGTACGATGTCGCGTTAGGCATTTGGCATCAGGAGAGTTTGATCTGATCTGAAGTGTGAATAGGATTGGTAAAAGAGTGTTGTGTGCTTTTGCCGAGTTTGGGATGGTGTCAAATTGTGCCTCAGGAGAAGAGTTTAGACATTCTGTCCTGATGAATATAATCAAGTCTTTATTTCATGGTTTGTTTTCACACTAATAGGTACAGGTTCATATTTGTTGATGAGGGTGAGAAGAAAACTATTGCCAACAAAAAGAATCCAGGTAGGGAGAGAGAGGAAAAAAAAAAAAAAGACTAGAGTTGGTATATTGTGGTGGTTAAAGGCCAGAGCCTGGGGGAAAAGTGGTTCTGAGTTTAAATTCTGCCTCTGGCATTTTCTTGCTCTATAATTTTGGGGAAGTTACCAAAATTCTCAAAACCTCAGTTTCTTTGTAAGAGATCTACATTTCAGACTTCTTGTGAAGACTAAAAAAGATAATGCATGCATAAGGCTTAGCCCAGTGCTGTTATGATAAGTGTGCAATAATTTGTAACTTGCATATGTCTTTATTCAAGAAAGTATTGTTCCAAAGAAAAAGCATCTGTTTATCTAATGGTTTAATTTTATCTGCTAAAAGTGCTTTTCTTTCTGACTGAGACCTCCTTGGTCCATTTCTCCCAGGATTCTCCAATTCTAATTTTTGATTCTCCATGATTTTCTCTCATGGACCATCCTTCCTATATTTAAATGAGATAATGCATGAAACACATTTAGAATAATGCACAGTCGGAGATAAGTGCTCTGTAAATGGTAGACCTACTATTCCTCCCTGCCACTTCTCTGAAAATGATAGAGTTCACACATGTCCTATTATTCTGTCATAGGTTTATGCAGGCTGCTCCTCATAACCCCACTCAGACCCTGCTGGGGCATCAAGGATCTTCAAGGTTCACATCAGTTGCCTCTCTCTCACTGCCTGCTCCTCTCTTGGCTAACTGGCCAGTTCTCTGGTTTCCCTGGGAATAACAATTGGGCATCTCTGTACAAATGTCTTTTATAGTTCCTTGTCTTCAACCTTGGTGAACTCCTGACCTGGCACCCAGTTCCCAGATTTCATGTATGACTATTTCATTTGCTCCAGGGGATTGCAGCTTTGAAAGTAGTGCCATGAATCAAATTGAGTTTAAAACCATGAAACAGAGGGTGTAGTTCAGATATTGACTGAAGTAGTTTCAGTCCTATTTGGTGCAAGAATGAAAATGCTCCCTGAGAGAAAAGCATCCCAGGCAGAATTATTGTTTTAAACCACGTATCCGAAAGTCCATATACATAAAAACTTTCTAATTCTTATTTTGTATTTTCACTGAGAGCTATTTCTGGAGAGTTTATTTAAAATCTTACATTGATACAGTGACTGTTAAAATGCAGCGTGGCAATTTAAGGGAACCATAAGTGAACACATTTTTCTGACAACGTCATCATATTCACCTTGAAAAGATTCAGAAAAGTGGGAATGTATACAATGTAGGATATACAAGGCAGGAAAATATTAAGGAGAAGAAGAGAAGACTGAAGAACCTAGCAATTGGGAGGCGATGAGGTCAAAAGAATGATGGAAAAATATATTGGGGGCTGGGGTGGGAGAGACATATAAAAAGAATATTCTGAAAGGGAAGAACAAAAACAGACAAGAGAGCTGAAATCTAAAAGTGTGTGTGTGTGTGCGGGCGAGCGTGCACACGTGATTTGTCCATAGATGTGAAGTATGAGATTTAAAGTAGATTCAATATTCTAATTTAATGAGACAGGAGAGGTATGGAATAAAGAAAAGGTTAAGAGTGGCTGTAGGAGTTACTGAATTTAATTTGAGCTTCATGATTATGTATGTACGCTGTTATTTCTAGTCTTTTCAGAAAACACATGCAATGAAATTCCCATAGAGTGCTTTTGCAGACTGTGGCTTTTTTCTGTTTGCATCTCCCCCTCCTCTTTACTTTTTAATTGTGTTTATACAAAGTAGGTTCTAATTTCTGCCTAGAGCAACACAATTCTCTCTGCCTCAGCTATATT